GAATGTGGTAGGGTGGTGACGTCACGCCCCTATTCCCGCTTCTTGTTCGATTGACCAATTGGAACAATAAAAATAATCAACATTGCCAAATCGTAAAATTCGAGAAGCCTATCATTATCAATTGAATTATGGAAGTGTATATGAACCCGTTGACGTTTCAATTAATGAAAAATCCTCCATATGGAATAAAATGTACACGAAAAATCATGTTTGCATAAAGTTCTATATCTAAAATCAGTACACAAAGTCGATAGATCACAAAATATTTACCTAAACTATGATTTTATGCATTATTTAATAATATACAGTTATGAAAATCAAAAAATATAGCAAACTGAATTAAAGAATCATTTCAAATATTCAATTTATTCTACAATCCTCAATCTGTACAACTGCAATTTATTATAAAAAAAATGATTCCTACATACACACCTCTTTCTAATACAGCTACTGAATTGAAATCAAGCGTTATAGGCTCACTTGGGTAATCTGTTGAATCTTCCAAAACTTGAGAGGAAGGTTGAATGAGGTCAAGTATAGACAGAATTGATTGAACTCGAACTGATCCAACAAAAGCTTCTGAGGTAATAATACCATTAATCATAATGATAAAATTTAATTAATTTTGTTTCATACTTTCAGTAACAGGATTAACTCTAGATAATACTTTCTGTGGAGAATACTTGAAGTTGAAATTAAAAAACTCTGTTATCAAATTCAATATTTTCGTTCACCTATCATTTTATAGTCGCTTTTTAAATGATTTCGATAAAGTCTTGGAAGAGTACTTAGAAGGATTGTAATTTTTTTTCAATACTTTCACCCATTTTTTTTCTCATCATTTTATCCTTTGGGAACCTTAACTCATTATATGAAACAACTCACTTAAAAACAAATGAGCTTTCTGTTTTCTTGTGCCTTTCCGCACAATTAAAATCAGCACAAGAATGCACCATATTAATATTCAAATATATCTCTAAAACACTTTCAAAACATACACAAACTGAACTCGATGAAAAAAACAATTGTTCCTACGCGAGCTGTCAGCTAAAAAAAGTTGAAACTCAATGTTGCAAAAATAAGCAGAATAGATCCGATATGACATACATTTTCAATGCCGAATAAACCAATAAATTGTGAAATGGGTACTTCATTTTCCTGAGAAAATGAACAATCAATTAAAATTGAGCATAAAAATGGACAATAATATTTGCCTTGATAACTGATATAGCACAAGTTATATCTAAATATAATCCTAAATAGAATTGAACGAGCTGTATTTTCAAATGGTTTTCGAATGCTCATGAACCCTAATAAAATGAATCGATTATGCATTCATGTCTCCCACGAAAAAATAAGAAATTCAACGTTACTGGTATATTAGCCATATTGTCATCCAGTCAGCCAGCGCCCTCTGTAGTGTATGCGACAATGTGCTCTTTCTTATGTCAATGGTTTTCACATACTTCGTATTTTTGTTAAAATAATTTCAAAATGAATGTTGAGCCTAGTTTTGTTAAAGCTGACTTCCGACAACTTACCAAGAGTCGATTTTGAAATGATCGATGAATTTTACTTGAAAAATTTGCAATACTTTGGTACCGAAATGAAGAATGAAAAATTGAAACAGTAGGTGGTATATGTAGAATTACTCCAGAACATATCAATCCAAAAATAACCTGATAATTTTTTTTTCGGAGTGTAAACTAATGACACGGAATATGCAGCAAAATAGGTACCCGCTGAGACCTACCTTTTACAAAAAAAAAACGTTCTTTAATTAGATAATTGTAACATTTGTATTCACACCGAGTTGACAAAAATGGCGTCTGTCAAATTGGATCATCAGATCTATGATTGGATATTAAAAACCAATACACTTGGCAACTCCGCTCTAGACACGATCAATTTTATTGGGCAACAGACACGCAGCCAATTTAAATTCTTGTTTTTCGAATTATTCTTTTTTCTGCAAATATAAAGAGATTTTGGGACCGATTAGGCTTGATAAGTATAATATACCCGTAACTCGATCAGTCTAGCAAACCAGTATCATTTTCCATAGCATGAAACAAGCCCATTGAGAATCAGGAAAAGTTACACTCTCGAAAAGAAAGTGTGGCAATCGCCAAGCTATGTTTATTTTTGTTTATAATTACCACAATAGTATTTGTGCAGAAATATTTTTTGGAATGAAATCAAAATAAAGTCTTTTTGACATCTCTGTTGTTCGGGACAGTTTTATCAGCGAATGTACCCATAGTTGTCATTTTATTTCGTTTGAAGATTTTTTAATGTATTTTTGTTGTGAGGTAACGATCCATCAGCTGAATAATTCATGTTTATTTTATTCACGATGTTATGAAAGTATACTTTTCAAAAGGAGATAGGTAAATTACGATTTGACAGTAACATCTATCATTCACTAGGTTTTTTTGTTGTGTTTCACAAAACATATTTTCCAATCAGTGAAAATGAATGAAAAAAATCAAATCCTTGATCTTATAATTTAACGAGAAAAAAATATTAATTTTCGGTCACGTTGACTATGTGTTTACTGATTTTTTTCAATCAACGGCAACGTAACAACTCCAAAAAACTTGGTAGCACCCACTCATTACGTCTGGGTACGATTTTTTCAATGTCAAATGAAACACGTCCCGCATGTTCAGTTATCGTGTGAATATTTATGAATATCTGTCTATTTTTATTTGTTACGAATGCATGCTTCCATAATATGAATTGATATGAAAAAAAGCGAGTGTGCTTTAGACCACACGACTGAAGTGAAAATTTATATATATATAGGGTGTTCCTAAACATCGTGCACATACGAAAGGGGGTAATTCTTTGGCTTATTTCATAACTACAAGTTTATATAAACATAGGTCCGCAAACGCTTCGTTACCGATTTACAGGGTGTTGAAATTACAAGATTTTTCTTGTATTTGGAATCTAGATTGCGTTATGGGGCATAAATTAGTGGGTTTTGTCAGATGGTTGTTGATTCTACAAGGTGATATTTTTTCACCCCCTGAACTTTTTTACTGTGCGCCGCTGGTAGATTCTAAAATACAAAATGAATTTTCCGTTTTATTTGGAAACTTTTTTTGTTTCTGCGACCGTTATAGAGAAAAAAATTAAAGATTTTTTGTAGAAATGATTTATTTTACAATACAAAAACCTCTATTCAGTTGTTCTCATACACTTCATGTAAACACTTCCGAGACAAAATAGAAAAATATGCTGGAGTGCGGTCGTACATAAATCAAATTTCTCAACAAAAGAGGCAAGTGTTCGAGTAATAAAGGCGATTCCTGCAGTTCCTATTGAACTTCTTTGCAGTGCGCCGCTGGTAGATTCTACGATACAAAATAAATGTTTTTTTTTCTTTAGGAGTTTTTTTCGAATTTGCGTTTTAACTATTTAAGGTTTTAGTTTGACACTGTACGGTATAAAATTAATTGTTTTAATTACTCGTTACAATCTCAAACAATGTCAATTTTTACCAATTCTGAAATGGCTGAGATGCATTTTATCTATGGTCTTGCGAATGGAAATGCACGAGAAGCCAGACGTTTGTACATGGAGCGCTATCCCAATAGAGTAATACCTGATCAAAGAACATTCTCGAATATCCATAGGCGTCTTGTAGAAACTGGATGTGTTAATAAAAAGGTATGTGACGGAGGTAGACCACGTACTGTTAGAACTCCACAGATCAAAGAAGCTGTTCTAAATGAAATAGAAGAACATCCCAGTACTAGCACCAGAATAATCGGTAAACATTTAAATATTAGTCATCAGGTTATTTGGAGAATATTGCGCGAGTCTCTACTATACCCTTACCATATTCAAAGAGTGCAGGCGCTTCTTCCTCGAGATTTCCCTTTAAGGATCAATTTCTGCCAGTGGTACCTTAATAGAGTAGCAGATGACCCCGATTTTGACTGTAAAATCTTTTTTACTGACGAAGCCAATTTTTCAAGGAATTCCATTATTAATTTTCATAACAACCACATATGGGCACAAGAAAATCCACATGGAATTGTAGAAGCACATTTTCAAGAGCAGTTTTCATTAAATGTATGGGCTGGTATACTACGGGATCATTTGATTGGTAATTTCTTTTTGCCTGGTCGACTTAATGGTCGCTTCTACAGACATTTTTTGCAACACGAATTGCCTTTGTTACTCGAAAACGTGCCTCTTTTGTTGAGAAATCAAATTTGGTTTATGCACGATGGCGCTTCAGCACATTTTTCTATTTTGGCTAGGATGTATTTAAACGGAGTGTATTCTATTCAGCAATAAAATCAAGCTGGTTTCACTTTCTGTTTATAACATTCAATAGAAAAAATATGTTTCTTTCAGAATCTCACATTTACTTTAAAAAATAGAGATGTTATTGGAAAATTCAATATTTGAGCATTTACTTTTTCATTCATCACCTGCAGTATTAGGAAATATGATTCAAATGTATCAAACAGTTCAACAATATTCATACCCTTCTTCTTTCAACTATTTCATATTAATTACTTTTAGCAAATGGCCCAGTCTGTTTCAAAACAGAGATTGGCCATATGTTTGCGCCATATGAAATCTAAAATTATCCGTCAAATCATGGCGGTCTATCGAGACAAAAATAGAACTCTAATAGTTATCCGACATGTTACTACATAATGCTTGATACAGTTTTTTATAGAGTGAACTTCGTAAATCACCCAGTGTTATCAGATTCAATTTTATTTTTAGAAATTTTTGCAGTTGATATACGGGAGTGACTTGCCATTTGTTTTGTAAAATATTATGACATATGTTTTCTCTACATAATTTTTACATAATTTAAAAATTTCTTGTATGTCCAGAAGTCGTCAGCTTCAAATTATTTTGGAAAATGTTAATAATCATCTTGTTTCATGCAAATTCAAAATTTCCAAAAGTAATTTTCGTTTTCAATCCATAATCATTACTCATATGTTTATTTTATAATTACGTCAATAACAAGCATTTTTTCTTTTCAGACTGTGAGCAACCGTCCGAGAACTTGGTCCTCCTACTCGAACATTCGTGTTAAAGATGCCCAGGACTTCCTAAACATGAACTCCACCGATGAGATAACTGTCTTCAAGGATCCCAACGACCTGTATAACTCTCCTACTCTCACACGAAGGACTTTGGGTTACAGTTATGATTTTCCAGAAAAGTCGCAAAAGAAAGAAAAAAAATGGTCATTCACCAATATGTTCAGAAGAAAAAAGAAGGATGAGTCAGATAGCAGTAGCGAGGAAGAGTGCCAAAAGAAAGGATTTCTCAATAGAAGAAAGAAGAAACCCGACTCAAAGAGGAAAAAACCCATCAAATCGGTAGGAACTTTCGATCACGTAGTCATACCACCTGTTCCTAGAAACTCCATTATTTATAACGGATACAACTGTCATGAAGAAAATGCTGTTCTATCTGATCCCACGGGAGGGTTCTCAAACTATATGGGGAGGAATCTACCTCAGGTTCCCTCCAGTGGATCCTGCCAAAAAGTTAGTAGAGAATCTCTGAACGATAGCAATCTTTCCAGAAACAGCCTGGTATCAGGGTCAATAGACAGCGTTAAGAAGACTAGAAGAGAGCAAGCTAAAGCTCGAGCCGAAGCTAGGATGACTTCTTCAAGAAATGGTAGCAGTTCTGACGATGACTCCCATATGTCTAACTCTTCCTTGAAAGTTCGAAGTGAAGAGGACCTCAAACTCAAAGACGGATCATCCAATAGGAAATCTCGAGCAGCCAGAACTGAAAGGTACTTCAAGCGACATTCAAGAGACGGAGAAAATCCTTTCAATTATCTGAGGCTGTCCAAGTCCGATGTTGAACATTCATCGATGAATTGGAAAGTATCCGATGAAAGTAACAGATCTCCGAGTAGAAGTCCATTGGTACCAACTACCCCGATAGATACCAGACATAAATTATCTTTTTCTAGTTTACACTCTCAAAATTCCAATATATCCGGATTATCTACAATACCCCCTAGTCATAACAGCCAAACCAAATATAGAGTTAGTAATTCGACCAGCAACCCTTCATATAAGCCACCGCAATCTATGAACGACTACAATAACAGCACCAAAAAGCAAATTGATTTCAACGGGGATAAACAGTTGAATGACCAGCGAAGCTATTCATACGATGCGAACATTCATAAAGCTCCATCCACAGACGTGCTACACGTTCAGTTTCCTATAATGAGACCAAAAGTGGGACACAGAAATCTGAGTCTCCTTGATACTTCACAATTTGGAACAAATAGACAACCTCCACCACCGCCCCCACGTGATCCAAATAGAACAATTGGAAACCACTACTTTGAGAGTGGAAGACCGAACACTTTCTACTTTGACAATAGCGGCCAAACTAAATCTAAGTCATTCAGCAATTCTAATCCCACTCCTGTTTTGAAACAGACGAAAAAATTTTCTTCTTTCAATCTGCATCCCAGTTTCCGATCAACTTCGGAAGATCATCTGCCCAGGGATACTATTAGCGTATATTTGGCAGATAGGCCTTCTTCGACAACCCCTGATGCTAACAAACCCCAAAGATATATCACCAGAAGGGAGGAAGTTAAACCCAATAATATAGGATACAATTATTTGACGGATAAGAATCCAAGGAGCCGTAAACCTATATTCATAAAACCTGAAGATAAAAGTAGTAGTAACGTCGACTGTAATATTGAAGCTGGCCAGAAAGCGTTAGACTTCTGGAAACAAATTGATCGACAAAACATCAATAAGCCGATATTGAAGAAAACCAGATCAGATAGTCCACAAATGTTTACCAGTCATACTAGTGTGCAAACCAAAGTGTTTTTGCCTAGCGTTCTTCAAAATGATAAAAGTAAATTGAATGAAACACGCAGTCCTAGTCCATTCAAACCGGCTACTCCAACTTTGCAAGAGGTCGCTAAAACACGGGTTGAATCGCCACAAACACCTTTGAGCCAAGAAGATACAAACCGAAAGTCAACCAATTTAGAAGAAGCGTTAGATGAATTAGAAGCTATTTATAACAGTTTGAGGCTAGGTGATGAAGATTTACTCGAAAGGGCCGAACAAAGGGAAAAAGAAGCCCAAAACAGGAGAGTACCAGCGGATATTATGAGTTCATATCCAAGTTTCACATCTAGAGGAGCTATGAGCGATTCTAGTTTTAGCTATGAGCCATTCGATTCGGTTGACTCACCAAGACGGAGGAGAATGATGAAGAAAAACCACACGTTAGATACAAGAAACGATGACATGGCGTTCAGGAAAATCAATAAAGAAAGAGCAAACACCATAGCTGATCCACAATCGGCATTATCCAAAGTAAGTTATTTACTGTCATCGCCCGTTCATAAAGCTCTCAGAGATGAAGAAGATGAGACCCAACATGCCCACACGGATGAACCGGATATCACGTTTGATGATGTTGTTTATCGAAATGTTAAACACACCAATAATTTGTTGAAGGTTGCAGATCCACAACCACCTTTCGGCATTCCCTTAGGACCAATTACTCCTGGTGCTAATAGTGACTATCTTCACGCCAAGCCTGAAAATATCTACAGGCCGTCGTTTAAACCTCGGAAAATACCTGATATTGTAAAGGATGACTTAGCTTTCCGAAATCTTCGCAAAGATGGTAATAAAGGGCCAGCTTTGCCTCCTTTATCTGTTGATGATTTCAAAAATAATAATTCAGAGAATGTGGCGAGTTTGAAGAAAATGAGAGCTCAACGATCTCTTTCTGCTAATATTGGCGCTTTAATTCACAATGATACTCTAGAGAGAGTTCGACAAAAACGAAACCAGAATAACGACGTAGAAAACGAGTTTAAAACATTGACAGATATTGCTGACGCTATGGAAATAGCCAGAAATGTATTGAGAGACAAAGAAAACAAAATATCAACTACTAGAAAAGCCTTCATGAGCGATACAGACACAAAGTATGTTCAGCCGGTAACTAACACATCTAGTCTTCGAGAAAGCAGACAAAACTTTTTAAATGGTTTGAAAAATTCCGTTGACAAGTCTACCCAGATATCGAAACCGTGTTCGCCTAGGATAGGAGAGATCAATTTATCTGCCAAACCGCCTCGTGGCCTGACACCAGAAAGCCGAAGATCTCCTAAGGAATCAACTCCAATACCAATTTCTCCTCTTCAGACCAAAAGTGAATCTTCTTCTTCGTCTTTAGACGACCTGTTAAGTGCTTTGGCAGAAGAAGCTAAGGAAACTACTGAACGGATAACGAAAGAGCTGAATCTACTTAACGAAGAAAAAGAAACCAAATCCATTCCTGAGCAACATCAAATTGGAAAAGGAAATGAAGCGGAAGTTGATAAAAAGCTATCTGAGATCGACGCTGTCTCAGAACATGCTAAGCTATGTGAAAAACTTTTGGAATGTGTAGTAGATAGCACGGAACTGATGGCTTCTACAAAAAATGACTTGGAAGTAGTGGAGCAAATAAATTTTGAACCTGCAGAAGAGCGTTCTGCCAACGTGGTCGTATCTAGAATAGATTCCAAGGAAGAAGATAGAAATAATGAAACTGGAGACTCGGAACACGATTATGAGAATTTATTGTCCGACAAAGAACTTAATGTTGACGAAGTTGATGTAACAACGTCTCTGCAAGAAATTGATGAACAAGAGAAATGCAGATCCCCTTTTGAAGAACACAAATCCGAACTCATTGCAAGTTTTCAGGAACTCAGGAACAACATGGCGGATATTGAAATGCCTGGTAAGAAGAGCGATGAAGAAATCAATTCCGAAAAGAAATCTTCATCGAAGGTGGATTCTGGCTACGAAAATCTTGAATTGATTGAGCAAGGGGTTACAGGTGAGGAATCGTGTGCTGGTGTTCTAGACGTTTTTGCTTTGCCAATCACAGAATGTGCCTTTACCTCTAATACTAATCCCTTAGATAGTGAGCCTACATTTACCTCTACATGTGATATAATTCTGAAGAAACCAGTCAATTTCAATGCACATGATGATTCAGAGACCAGCTCTGGTTTTCACTCGAACTGTTCTTGCGGAGAAAATTCTCATGGCCCCAAATCTGATGCAGCTATTGACGATTTAGATGTAGCCGCATTAGATTCTCTGGAAAGTTTGAAATCGCCAAGAATGGTTCTAGAGACTTCAAATAAGGTTTCTCAAGATACGAATTCATTCGATAAGTCACGAGAATTTCCAAAGAGTTCAAAATTAGTTATGGAATTGAATGATGTATCGAACAGAAAAAATTCAAACAATGATGATCAGCCTGGAACATCGTTTGATATACAACCCCGGAATTCTTTAGTGACGAGAGGGATGCATAATTCAAGTCTTGGAACTTGTGACAAGAAACCAACCAACTCCTGGTACCGTGACCCTGCTACTCTGGCATTTGCATGCTCTTACGGTATTGCATGTGCCCACCAATTAGCATCCATTGATTTATTTGCTATTCTGAGCATTTTGTTTGCTGTCCTTTCATTCATAACGGCCTTGTTTCTTTAATATCATAATTGTTTTAGTTAGGCTATTTATATACCTTACCACTCATTCATATAGTCATAACAGATTGACTTGAATAAAACAGAGAATGTGAAGGGGTAGATAGGGAAAATCAGTTTATATCTTTGATGTGACTGGAATAAAAGTTAACTTTTCATCGAATATTTTAAGATATAATAAGTTTCATTTATGTGATAAAAAGAAATAAATTTGAATGAAAAACGAATTTTATGAAAAAATAAATGTGAAGTAGTGACTATCACAGTGATGCATTCTGGTTCCGTATATGGAGAATAGATATACTCTGAAGGAGTCATGATAGATATCTGTTATGGTCTTTGTTAATGATTTTTATGTGGTGTTCTGTATAGCTGTACATATTTTGTATCTTTTGTAAATTACTATCTTGAATATTTCAATGCCAAATACTATTTTAAAACTATAGACTTCATTGTCGATAATGTTTATTTTTACAATAAATTTTGCTGTAAACCTCCGATTTTATTTTCATTCGGTGTTGAAAATACCATCAGCCAGGTTGTAAAAACAGATTTGTTCTGGTTCTCAGTTTTTACTGTTATCGTTCAGTGAGAAAGTTGTGGACCGAAAATAATATCATGTTCAGTGTTCAGTTTTTCAACTGTCAGATACGGTCTAGACAGAGAACCAGAGCAGGCCGACGTTGACACTTTTCAATAGCAGACATTTCAGAAAAAAAAATAACTCATTGTTTAGGTTTTTGTTAAAAAAATATCAGATTCAGATTTTGATGAAAAGAGAAATGAAAATTTCTATGTTTTTTACCACTTTTATTTGTAACTAACGTTACTGCATTTTCGTCCTATATGGACATTTTCAAACTCAAACAATAAACTAAGAATGATTCATTACATTCGCTAATATATACCATTCAGGTACTTGATTGAGTACCTGAATTTACAGTCAACCCTTCCTTGCATAGTGAAAAATTTCCGTTTCGTTCAGATTCGGGAACTTGTGGTTGCATGCCAAGGAACCAAATCCAGACTACCTGTATCAATATAAACACGCTTCACGTAATTTACCTAAAACCATATTCAGGTAATAGCATACCAAACTACCTGAATAGTCAACAGAAATGCACGTTACGCAGTCGTTATATCCGGTCAACTCAGGAGGATGTATAAACGTCTGAGGAAGCTAGCCACTCACGCAAGCAAAACGTCAGGAAGAAATTCCAAAAATCCACGGCCTTCAAAGAGATGAAAACTTGCGACCATTGTTCTATTTCTATTCAAATATTCTACTTCAACCACCGATCAATAATATTCAATGTAACTACATTGCCGTTGAGGCCACTGTTTAAAAAAAATATGTTGAGTATCTGTTTTTCCATCAACTAGCTGTCGCACCCCTACGAACGACAACCCTCAGAAGTCGAAATTTGTGCGAGCTAAGGATTAACGAGGTCTTACCTTTTAACGTGTAATTCCTAACACGGGTTGGACAATAGCAAGTGAAAATCGATCGTTCAGACTACGGCTTGAACCACCGACCGACACGGCAATCAATTCGAGTGAGTGAACAGAGCACCCACGTCGAACCGCCTGGCTACCGACCGAACATTGGATAAAATTGAAAGTGTATCGCATATATTATGCAAATAGCTGAAATACTCATGAAAATAATTGTTAATTTTTTATTTTTGTCATCACAATTTTCATTTTAAATAGTTGTTCAATTATCTTATGGAGGTATTGATAAACTGTATGCATTCATTTCATCAATCATATGTGTCATCAACGAAGCAAAATGCTGAGATTCCCAACAAAATATCAACTATTCCTGAAGATTATATTCCCTTTCTGTGAGTGAGATATTTTTTTTTGTAGAGGAGTTAGCTTTCTCAATCTGAAAAATAAATGAATATAGATCAACAGAGAATCTACTCTTATGTAATGAAGCACGAACTGAACAGTTCACCCTGAAAAGTTCCTGCGTAATATGAAGTTTTGAGGAGTCCAATTAGTCAGCTTAGCTATTGGAAAAAAAAATTGCGTTTTAAAATTCTGCAAAATACGGATGAAAAAACCAAAGAACGTATATATAATAATCCTTTTGAAGAAGGAAAAGGACTTTTTTCCAGAAGGTTAGCCCTATTAATAAAGTTAAATATTAAAAATTCAATTTTCTCGATTACTAAGTTTGTAAAATGTATAAATACAAGTTGCTGACTGACTGGAAAGGTTTATATTAAGCAGTAACTTTCCGGGTTGAACTTTTCAGTTTGTTCTTGAGCAGATTCTTTGTTGATCCATATTTATTTATTATTGTTGTTAACTTCATTTGATAAACAGTTGTTTCCTACTGTCTGTCCCTATGTATGTCTAGATCTTTAAAACTACGCAACGGATTTTAATGCCGTTTTTTTTAATAGATAGAGTCATTCGATGTATATGTATAATATAACATCCTTAACCCTACGAAATAGATCAAAATAATGTACTACAGTATTATACACTTCGAAAAGGTCTACAAAAACCTTTTTTTATCGTTTACTTTTTCACGAAGCGATTTCAAGTAATACAGCAGTAATTCTTGTCCAAGTATTTGAAATACATAGTGCATTTAATATAGATCAAATGGCTCAATATATCATGTCATTTAAATGAATATTTGCCAAGATATCACAGATTTAAAATACAGGTACACAGCGGTTGCGGCGGTACCTGCCGGGGAGCCGGTGGCGCGTGTCTATAAATAACGCTTTGAAGGCTTCTGCGATCGCACGCTTTTATATGTATATTCAGTATCAACATTGCATCCGTACGGAGCCGGGGTAGCTAGTATTTATCATACGTCGTTGATTTTATTTCTCTTAGTTGAAACCAGCAAAATGTGAAGTTTTATCTCAATCTACTCACTTGCTGGGTATTTAATGATGCAATGTTCATTTTTCATTCCTCGAACTAAGCAGAAGCATGATACTCTGAAGGAATTTGATTTTCAATTATCGGAAATAATCGACTTTATGTTGATGATAGACAGTACCTTGCACGGTCAAGTAGCCAAACAGCCCGAAACCGGTCTCCAAGTGTGTTGCGGCAGTTGTATCACTAACAGCATATGCAAGAATAACTTCAGTGAAGAATCCTGCACTGACACCTGTCGGATATAATCCAACGCCCTTCGTGATATTAGCCAGGGGAGTAGTTGTTTTCTGATAGGCGTCAGTCCATTAACCCACAGTGTAGGGGTTGAGACTGGTCTGAACGAATTTTTCTCTTAGATGATTTGATAAATTAGATAGTTTGTGTGTCATCTTATCAAACAATGTTTCAGAAACGGGAACTTTATTTTGCTTCCCACTGTACGATCCACAATAGCAGATAATACTTTTTGACAGAGTAGTATAAGACGAATACTCAAACAGCTACACATCAAAAACTTCTGGTCCTAATGAAGTACCGGTTATTGTAGGTACTTAAGAAATGTGCCAAAAAATTGCGCCGGTGCTTTGTAGGCTCTTCAATTTATGTTGAAGAAAGTGGTTTCCGGAAGCAAAGATCAAGAAGCTTCCTTACCACATACATAGCCCACCTTGCAATCGAAAAAAATGGAGAGTTTTGGTCAGTTGTCTGGCAAGAGAGTTTACTATTTGAACCTTGATGCTGTAGCTTTCTCTGTAAGTACCCATCAATGGTTCTTTTAAGGATACCTCTAACATCATTGCCGCTCGAAAAACACAAGTCCAATATTTTGCCTAGGTAACGACAACACTCTTGTCTCATCTTTCTATTTGGATACTCGAACATCAGTTGATATTATAGATAATCGGCGACAACAAGAGGTTTTATATCTTTATAAAGCTTGCGGCAATAGAAATCAGGTCAAAATTCAATGTCATGAAAATCCAGGCATCACTTTTCCATATGAACGAAAATATGGCGCAACAGGATATTAAAATGACAAAATGGAAACTACTATGAAACTTGGAACAGTATTTAGAAAGTTCTACATATCTCAGCTTCATAAAGCACAAATTAAACTTGTTTTTTTGAATTCCGCTCACATAAATAGTAATTCGACTCTGAGCATACCCTAAGGCTACTAGATCCAGAGATTTATTCGAGTAACATTATGAGATTTCCTTTAACGTTTTCATACTCATAAACTATTCAATGGAAATCCCACAATAAAGAAAACTTGCTTTGATTCTACCCAGCGTGATGTCCGAAATCGAAAATAGTTACGTTACTGTTGCAAAGCATCGTTTTCAAAGCTTCTCACAGATTATCCTGTAGTACAAAGGTTTTCACAACCTTAGTCATGATTGAAGAGAACCAAATCCGCACTGACAGGCCGTGGTCGAATGGAATCTAAAGTTCAAACGTTTCGTCTGCTGCTGTGGCAGATATCGTCATTGGTATGTACATTGACTGCGAGGACGAAGATTATACATATTGACATCCCAGCAACGACTGACTGGCGAGCTACGATTTCAATCGTATTAGTACTTTAGGAGGATGGTGGGGATGGTTGAGGAATTGATGGCGATTGTGGACCGTTAAGGAGTAAGCATTCGCATGCACATCAGTCAGTCGTTGCTGAGACTTCAAGATACATCCTTCATCCTCGCACTCAACGCACATACCATTGATGATGTCTGCAGCAAAGCAGACGAAACGTTTGTTAACCAAATCGACCATAGCTTACCAGCCCGGATTTTGGTCTCCTTTGTGCGTCTCAATAAAAAACAATCCATTGTTTAGGATGGAGTTTACAGAGAGTTGAATTTTGGTGAGTCGGAGGGGTGTAATTCATAGTGTTTTTGATGTAGATGATGTTGGTCCTCTGTCGCGGTGGATGTGTCGCAGCATGGACTTGGAAAATTCCGAATTCATTGAACTACTTATGATGATTGGGTATGGAGACAGATCGCGAACTCAGATGGAAGTGTGCAATTTGTTTAATGATAAATATCCAGAAAGACCTATAACGCGTTCAACAGTCAGTAAGCTGGAAACGAAATTTCGAGAAACTGGTATATTTCACTGAAAAACAAAGTCGTTGAAATCGAATGAAATTGTAGTAAAGTACTTCGTTTCTTTAACACGACATTGAAATATGAGGAACGGAATGATTAATTGCATGAAAGAAATTCTGAAATTTAATTTTACAAGTAAAAGACTTTCATTGGACTTATAAT